TAACATTCTTACTACATTTTTCTTATGGTTGATTTTCTTGACTTTTTTACTCATTTGGAAGAATACAGCTTTAACCACTTAACTCTATATAACTTTTCTGACTTGAACATAATGTAATTTTGAATACAAGTAGGTTTGGTTTGTTTATGTTGGTCAAATCTTGGAATTTCGCCCAGCTTTACTGAAGATATATAACTAACTAGTAATTTCCAAATTCACCGCAAATAACCGACTACTTATCTCAAATAATATTTGTATCACTGGTGATAGACAAATTACTATTAGACACAAATGCCCGAGTTCAATCGTCACAAAGTAATATCACCTGGCTCGAATGACTCTGAAATACAAGTCAGATGATCTCTCTATTGAGCTCAGCGGGAGGGCAAATAGAAGCATATAACTTCGATAAATACGATATTAATTTGATTGATAACATACATATTGGTTCCGAAATTTTCTTTGAAATTGTTTTATTTTACAAAATATCACTTTTAAGAAATTTTGTTTGTTATGTTTGATTTAAAGTCACAAGGACACTGTAAATGTCATTATGTAGCTTTCCAGTTTTACTGGTGGAGGGAGTCCTTACTGCCCCTTCACGAGCGGTAACCTGAGTAAAAACATCCGACTTCCGCACGCTAGCTGGATTGCTTCTTCACTCGAAAAGATTCAAAGTCCACGACGGGCTTGCACCTACAGCGTTGAGGTGCATGTGATTTGAAGTCGGCTTCCTTTAAGCACTTGGCCACGGAGGCCCCTGCTGTGGGGGATTTAAAAGTACTTCATTATTTAAAAACATAATGTAATGCATACTATGTCATTGTTGAAAGAAGGCATTGGATGATATGATTATAATTTACGATTTGCAATATAGGCCTATAGAGGTTAGAAATATCACCAAAATCATCGGATAATATATTGGAGAGACCATTTGTCATATGCCTTCATCTCATTTTCAACGTTTATAAGTAAAGAAACAATATTGCATTGCACTGTATAACAAAACATTCAACGTATGTTTTTAGACCATACTTAATTTCATATATATTTTTCCATCATAATAATCAACACATATCAAAAATAAAAACAAATACAATAAATCAGGGAAAAAAAAGAAAAAGATTATTTTAAAGGTTTTTAATCTATATGCTTCATCAATGGACAATGATTATACTTTTGTATGGTGTAACCTAATTTGTCCATGGACGAGGTTTAACAACTGCTTTCTGTATATAGTTCCTTGCATAAAGATATCACACAATATGTCTGAACAAAACGCTAGATTTAACAAACATGTTATACAGTATGTATTATTTATTATAGCCATACAATAGTCTTATTGTTTTTCGTATTCCGTAATACCTTCATATGGTAAAAAGCATGCAATAGAAATGCAAAAGTGATTTATGTGTCTTTTAATATGGTAAGACTTTGGGTTGATAGCGTTTGCTCATGAGAAATAATGTCAAGTGAAATATTTCGCATGTTCCCAAGCACCGGCTTACGTAATATTTAATGTGTACAATGTCTTCTAAAACATTTCCCCACTTTCAACAGAAGTGACAATCAAACAACGTTTGATATTCGATATCAGTATGTATTGTTTGAATATTTAGCAGGAGCTTGTTGCCATAATCACTAACATGAGAGTAGTTATCAACGTCTATGATTAACATGGTAATCAGTGGTAATAGTCGCTTATTGATTATAGTTATATATCATATCAGCTGTATTTATAATAAAGACAAAGTAATTATGAGGCGTGCTATTATTATTCGGGAAGCGAGCGAAATAAGTACGAACAATGCATCTCTACGTAATGAGAAAATAAAATTTCAGTTATAATATATTGATATTAAAAAGTATCAAGTTGTTTTTCGAAAAGCAACATACAAATACTCTTAATGACGGCATGGCAGATTGATAAACGTGTCGGAAAAGTAATCTGATGATTTAACGCCGCTTGGAAACAGGGAACTTTACACTTCATTCTTTAACTTACTGGTATCTTCAAGAATGTGTCTATTAGCTTATAGTTTCCTACACATTCAAGCTAACATAAAGTAGTATAAACTAAATAATCTAACAATATCTTCGTAGTTTATCATTTCCGATTACGTGTTGTAAAATGGATCATTCCGTTACATCATATATTTAAGCTATCCCAGAAAATACTGATAATCGGACGACAAATCATCATTAACATCAGAGCAAACAATTCCCTAATCGGCAATATCTTTGAGTGATCCCGTATTATGTTTAATAGAATGTGTTAATAAGTTGCAAGATCTGACCATCTACCGGTACGATCAATGATCTCTGAAAGACCTAACTGTCATATACAGGCAAATCTAATTAGCTGTTTGACCGATCACTGCCCGCATATATCTACAAACATGACATTAAGGCTAATGTACAAATAGAACTGACGACAGTAAATTGACGCCAAACGTGAAGACAATGACTTCTTGTTTAAGGGTACTCACCTTTAATTGTGATTCAGAAAATGTTGGAGCCATTATACTCAAAGACGTGACTTTTTTTGCTTATTGATCCTTAAGTATTAACTGTATTTTGATACCAGGCGTGGTAATTTATATCCAATTTGACTCTCAGATAGGTTTGTTTTTTCTAATTATTATACCAATCCCTGATGTGTGATTCGTTATAACTCTTTTTGTTTATTTGTCTAAAACACAATTTGATTAGATTTGTTATTAGTATGTTCTTTGTCCATAATTTTGCTAATATGATAAATAATAATTTAATATTGATTTGGATAAAATAATAAAAAAGAACGAAAATCATAACGCCATGGAGTGTACTTTCACATCATTTAAACCTTACTATAAAGTGGATTGGATGCAAAAGAATAAAACCAAGACAAATAATGTCTTTAAATATTATACGTGTGTTCATAATACTTCTACATAAAAGAATCCGCCATATGAGCACATCTGTGAAAGTTTCAAAATTCAAAATCTCGTCATTTTTTATGTCTAGATATTAAATTATGCTTAGGCCCGGTGCTTCTTGGGTTGAGTAGTACTTGTCGTAGTTGAAAGCATGCGCATGAGCTTTCTTTTATATTTCTTGTTTTATTGTGTCAATACAGATACAGGTAGAAAGTTAAAATTGTTAGCACTACAATGCTTGTCACAGAAAGCTGCACCGATTATTTCGTAATACAACATGCTTTATTTCAGTGAGAATGTGGCATGCTACAATGATAAGCCGAGACTTCTTAGTTCCGCAATAGTTTTTGAAGTCCGATGATGTATTTTATTATCTCATAAATTTTGAAAAGAAAAATGATGAGATTGTGTGATTTTGTTTGATTTAAAAGAATGTTGAAGATTTATACACAAATGATTGCCGCAAAAGAGTTGAATAAACATTTGACATAAATGTCTTTTTAACTTATCATTTAAAGTCGAGCATACATTTTGTACGAATTATAAAATGTTGTGGTGATTGTGAGGGATGCACTTATTTCTTTCCTTTCCATTCTTGTAGTAAGATAATTCATTTGTAATTTGTGTCTCATGATATAAAAGCTAATTGTTTTTGATCCTTCTGCTAAAAATGTGCATTTTTAACTATTTTGAGATTTGTATTTAACGAACATACCAGCAGTTGACGTCTTAAGTACAATACTTATGTTCTTAAAGTAATTCATTTCACTATTAACTGCAACAATTTTGTCCTGATATGTCATTTTCTTTTATATCATATGTCATTTTCTCTTTTTTAATAGTTATCATTTTATTTTAGAACATTAGTGTTATTCAAAATACGTGTTGTTTTAAAAATGTTAAAGTCGTTTAGACGGTGAAATTATTGCCTAAGATAAATTTTCAATTATATGGTATAAACAACGTATTTTCAAATTGCATGTTTTTATACAATGCTCTGAAATTGTCACGCGAATCAACAGTTAACTAAATTACATGAATAGAGAAATTTTCAAAAGCAAAATAAACCGTGTTAATTCTTTACTGTTAGCAAGGCATATGAAGCTGGCTTGTAAATTTAGTTGCGTGTCTACAGTAATAAGTGAGACACCAAATTTCCATACTAAGATAAAAATTTGAAATAAGTGTCAAATAATAACTTCAGATTACAGGAAGTTGATAAATGACAGATCAGCAGGAGAAATTCCAGTTTATCTTTTGTAAATATAAAATATTGGAATACCGTTTGCAAATTTGCACGCATGCCGTTCCGTTGTGTTTTTTTAAATGTTGTTTTTTTGTGTTGACAAAAACTATAATAATAACAAAAATAATATTAATGATAAGTCGATAAATTATTGTATGCACACTGAAGAAGCTTATCTTATTACGATTATTTCACGAAAATATGTATTTCCACTTTTAAAACCTTTAAGCAAATACAGGCAATAATTCCATTTGTACCAATGCTTTAACATTTAACAAACCTCTTATAATTATGATCAAGTTTAAAAACATCCTGTATATGAAACGGTCAAAATCTTTTTACAGTGATTTATTATTACACATGTACGTTTAAATATCTATATAGTGACCTCAAGATTATGGATAATCTATAATAATGTTTTATTTACTATGATATTGTTAAGAGACAGTTTGAATTTGTTAATCAATAATCTGTCTCGGAGCCAAATGAGTACAAAATAACGACTTTCTTTCTAATTTGTTAAAATCACAAAGGGAATGATGTCACCTGATACTGATTAATATTAAATGTACACACCAATTTCATTGATTGATTGGTATTTTGGTAAGGCATTTAAGCAGTACAAAGACAAAAAAATGCCTTTGATTTACACAAACATAATGTCATTTCAGACAATCAAATTGAATAAACAACAATACAATTATTTATATTGGAGGCAAAAAGAATAAATCATTCCTTTGCTGAGGCAACTGTTGAACACAGTATGATATCCCGAAACTCGTTTACCAATACTGCAATGCAAGCATTGATAGTGTATGCGATAGTGTTTGGTTTTCTCCCCGTCACATATCTCATACTAACTGTATATATTTGACGGATGATCTGACTTTGCCTCACAATTATCTGGACTATCACAGATTAAACATAAAATCGCAGAATACTTATTCAATCAAAGATGAGATACAACTGTAATACAAAAATTGGTTTAGAAATAAAATGTAAGTTGTTTTATATTTTGATTTTCATGTTTTATATTGTAATATTAAAACATTTTTGACATCAATGCTGTGAATTGTTTGTCATCAGCGTGTAACATACATTGTAATTTTTAAAATAAATTAAATGAAACAAACATTCTGTAACATATCTTATGATAAATATTGTTCACCGATACTGAATTAATATGTATGTCAAAAATGGATGATTGTTTTATTTCAATACATTTGTAAAGCATCTAACATCAAATTCGTTCTAATGAAATGATATATGTTGTAACAGTTTATAATCAAAAGATTCATCTTACAGTTGAAATGAGATTTTTCTTTTCATTTTGTTATAATCATACCGCGAAAAAGAATTCTACATAGAGCTCTTCAGTATCATAGTTTTACGTTAAAACTTTATTATTTATATTTTGTTTGATACTTGTTTTTGACAATTTTAAGTAGACCATATAACTGATCAGAATCAAAGGCGGATTTCAGATTATTATGTGATAAACTATATCTATTCTGGGTGCATACATATATTTTAAAGTATGATACTTAATCATGTCCTATAAATGCTTCAATTTTATTTCTCAGAAGCTATTTGTTTGGGTGTCCCGTTATATTTTCCAAACATTTGCTCATTGGCCAAGTACCTTAGCAATTTGTTTGGCTACTTTTGCTTTTGCATTTAGCACTACTTTCTTTAGGCAATAAGCGTCTAACATGCTTTAGAACAATTATTAAAAACATTATAACACTAAACTTTGCCCTTTTCACAGAAGCCAACGAATATTCGTTTCTGGGGCATAACTGTGCCTATGACATGTTTTGTGTGTTTTATAGTGAAAAAATCCTACACTAATTTCATTTAGTAAGTTAATGTTATATAATCACGAAAAGATCAAAATGATGTTCAGCGGCTTTTTGAAAATGACTTGTCAAGATTGCGAGGATGATGTTTTCAACAACAAATGTTCATTTGAATGTTTTAGGAATTTTTGTTGATATTTCAACAACAATGCATTGAAAACGTTTTTGATGTTGAGCAAAATCTAAAATAATTAAGAAGTTTCACAAATTATTTGTAAAAGATGTTTGTATTTGTTTTGAACATGACGAAACATACATTTTGTCTACTGTTATCTTTGAATATGTATAACCCCGTCAATCTTTCATACTTTTGTTTTCCCTCAGGCATTTATATTAGGTTTCCTGTTAAACAGAATGTAATATGTCGAGGAAAGATTTCCAATACCGCTTAGAAGTGTAATGAAGTCTTATGTCATGGTTTACTGAACTGCCGTATTTGCTGACGATTACCGGGGATTTGTATCCTACGGGGGAATATAGCTTAAGGATTATGCATTTATTCATTACAATGCTATACTTTTATCCTAATTTAAAAGCATTGTTTCAAACTATACAACCTTTGAGAATCATATACCAACGTATCCATTCTGTTAGCTGCACATATAAACATATATACATCTATAGAGTTTGTTTGTGAAACCTGTATGTCTTTCATTCTTTTTAAGTGTGTCTTTGGTTACATACTAAATAGAGTAATGTTAGCTTCGTATACATCTTTACTATTTTGAAGTACTGCGTTCTTTAAATATAAGCGATTCGAAGTTTATTTTATATTGTCTTGTCTATTTCATGCTTTTTATTTCGAAATTTAGTGTACGCCAATATTTCAACACATGCTTTACAATTGACAACCCACTTTTTCTTCAACTCATAATTCATGTTAATCGTGTAGAAAAAAAGAAAAATAATAACTTCCAGATTGAGACGTGTTAATGGAAGTGAAAGAATATGAGAAATTACTGAAGCAAATACCATGTACGACGATATTCTTGAAATGTTTCTTTGAATATTGAGACATAACCATTAATACTACTAAAAGAGATTTCAAAAATTATTCACGACGTGTTGTAAATTATTTCGTGTACTTGACAGAATAAAACAAAGAGCACAGCATACATAAACATGGAGATGTACACTGACTGAACGCCTAATTGACTTAAGGTCGACCAATGAAAGTTACAACTTAGTTAAAAGTATATACACTCAACTCATAAAAAATAACTTTTAGAGGTGATTAAACTCAAACATCATATTTTGTAAATATGTAAGTGTAATTATTGCATGTATTGTTGATAATTCTGAAATCATTTAAATACGTTTTCTTTTATGAAGCTACAAGATACTTCCTTTCCTTGTTATTTCTGAATTAACGCCGATTTCCTCACATGTTTTGGTCATATCTTTACAGCCGGTCAACTTTACCGCTTTCCTGGACAGCTTACTACGTATAACAAAATCTCAGATTCTCTACATGTTTGCTGAATCCGTAGTGGGAGACAAATGACCATTTTACTCAATGTTCGAAAGAAATGATTACGTTTCGTCTGAGGATCGAACAAGCGACCTCTGAATTACATATGACATGCATGATGCCCCCCACATTTAGCTAAGCTATCGAACTTAATTCAATCCACCAAAACGTGTTTAATATCCCCTGATTTAAGTTAATGACTTGTTTGATATTTTCCAGAAATGGTTGCAGCAATTTGATAACGACAGAGAGTAGGAAAAAGACGTCAAACGGAGAGGACACTCCACTTGCGCGATAAATATTGAACACTTGTGATATATGATCCGATGTGAATTAAGCGAAATTACATTGACAGTAGAATAACAATAGAGATGTGCGTTTATTGAGTGGAAAAAATAATAACTGGAGTCAACCTGACGGAAATATGGTAGTAACCACTAGTGTCGTCGCATAACAAATCAGTATTGGATAATAAACTACATACTTATGAAAGGAAAGTTGTGTCATCCATTGTTGCAACGGAAATAATGATGGTGGGCTGAATTTATGATGACAATAGATATATTAATAAATGCCAACATTTGCCGGAATGTTTTGTAGAGTCGAATTAGACTCAGACTTGATCGATTCTAATGAATGCTTTCAGAAAACTAGACTAATAAAAAGGATAAAAATACGATTTTAAGTGATAAAACTCGAAAGTTTGACTTAGCATTTACTTGAAAATTAAAATAAAGGGAAAGTATTCGACATTTAGTGAGTTAATTAGCTCTCATTCAGTAAAAAAAGAAAAGTAAAATAAAAGCTGTGAAAAAGTAATTTGCCTTAAGCGAGGTTTATTATCCAGAGGAATATAGAATTTTTCTCGAGCAACTTTTGTTGTCAGAATGAATTTTACTACACCAGCCTCAGGAAGGAGTGACATGACTTTACTTGATTCATTGAGTAGTTGGTACAGTAACTGTCATGGGTACATCAGTTTGATTATCTGTGCCATTGGAATACCTCTTAACATAATAAATGTTGTTGTACTTACCAGAAGGAAAATGCACACGCCTATCAATTTCATTCTCACATGTCTCGCTATCTCAGATATGGCTACAATGATAACTTATGTGCCTTTTGCCTACCATTTTTATTGTGAATATTCAGCTAATACAATTTCGACTGGGAAGAATAGTTTCGAATGGATGAATTTCCTGCTGATCCATCTTAATTTCTCGGCTACTGCTCATACCATATCAATATGGCTTGCTGTCGCTTTAGCTATGATCCGTTTCCATCAAATTCATTCTCCAGCAAAGGGAAATCTAACGCGCATGCGCAGAATTATACGAGCTAGAATGATAGTCGGAATTATAGTTGTATTCTCTGTCACAATTATGATACCGAACTATTTAAGTGTAAAATTGGAGCAGTATCGACGACGGGACAACACGACAATGTACATATTTGAAGAGTGGCACCTAGGCACCGACCAAGCCAAGCCAATCAAGATGATAGCACTGATACTGTATAGTGTATTAGCAAAGTTAGTACCCTGTGTTATGATAATTATCTATGGTGGACTTCTTCTACGAACACTACGTAAAACAATGTTACACCAGAGACATCTGTCATCAACAGGAGCATGTTTGAACCCACAAAGAAGTAATGATCCGGCAAGAACGACAACTATGTTGCTTATAGTCATTGTTTTGTTTCTGTTAACCGAGTTACCACAAGGCATTTTGATAATGTGTTGTATTTTCATAAAGAACTTCTTTGAAAAAACATATATCCCACTAGGTGATATCATGGACATAATTGCACTTATTAACAATGGAATCAATTTCGTTTTATACTGTACAATGAGTCGGGAGTTCAGGTTGACGTTCATAGACGTATTTTGCTCGCCGCTTCTGAAAATTGAGAAACCGAATTCACATGCCTCAACTGTTATTTGTCACAAGAAATTGCAAAATAGTACTCTGTAGAATAATTGATGACGGAAATTCAAACTCATGATCCTACCATTATTGTTTTGAAAACATATCATCGAATTAATATAACGAAACGGGAAAATTGAACAAACATTTGTGATCAATATATGATACGCGGTTTTAAAAATTTTATGTACTCATTATTATTCAGCTGTTCTTTCATTTATTTATTTTTCATGCTTTAAGAAGAATAGAGAACATCTCAAAATCAGTGACTAATAAAGTTTTATCTAAAACAAGTTTGACATTAATGTATTTATGAATGCGGAATGCAATATGTTTTGACAAGGCATATAGAATATTTTTCATGTGCATCGATATTTAAATTAATGAAATATTTCCAAATGATATATTGCAAACAGGAAGAAATGTTATGTAAATATATGAATATAAAAAGAAATTATCATTACTTAGTATAACAATTAAGAATCACAAATTGTTCTTGCATGTATCATAAAGTATCAAACAGTTTAAGAATATATACATGTATATATACAAAATAGATTGTAAAACGTTATGGAAAGTGTGTTTTGATGATTAAAAAAAAGATAAATGAGATTTTATTTCAATGATACCTACAGAAAGAAGTTATAGTTGTCGTCTGCATCATTAATAATAAAAAACACGTGCCTGGAGAGGTCAGTCAGCGAATTTCATTTAGTTTGTTAACTGCTTGTATTACTTTGCTAACAATAAATCGTAAAACATAATTATTAGTTTAGTAAACACATATTTCATGTTTAACATGACGTATATGATTTTCTCCCAATATATTGTCCATACTAAAAATGTTTATCAAATTCAGTACTTTCAGATTTTTGAAATTGTATTTAATAGAATGTAATATATTCTAACTTTTTTGAGTTTTTTAATCTGCATTTCCTTCATAGGAAATCGACTTTCAGTTGCAGGATCGTCAGAGACTAAACGAGCCTTTTAAAGTTTCTGGTTTATTTCCCTCATTCATACATGAAGCAGCCTTTTGAAATTACATTTAAATTGGTGTCTTGGATAATTGTAACACTAATTTGATACATTTTGTAGGGGTTGCTATTGGCAAATTGAATATTCTAGCAACATTGAAAATAGAGAATGAATCATTTACTAGAAATATTCTTGTATCATAAGATAGTGTGAAAAAAGACCTTGATTAAAAGTTGGTTTCTTTCAATCAAAAACATACATCTTCTGTTTTTATCAGTTTGAAATGCATCTACTTTTTATCTGTGAAATAAATATAACATCGACGTATCCAACCTAATTTTCTTTCTGTTTATATTATTTTGGGAAACTAGCGAACTGACTATAGTAGATATTTCCAACAATTCTACAAATGTATTTATCGACTGTATGTTCATAATATTCATTAAAATGACATACAATAAATCAAATGATCACTCTATTCATTCAATAGAGCTGTGCCAAATTAATAAGTTAGTAGTTTAAGAAGTGTACAAATGCACGAGAAAGTCATGTATTTTATTACTAGGGTTCACGTTACAACGCACAGAGCTGATCACGACATAAAATATTTTATGTATATAAATTATCACATAATCCATTAATTGTTGCAAAAAGCGTATTAAAAATAATTATTTTTTCGAATAGTAAACATTCAATTGAACAAATAAATAAATGGGTCTCTGTAAATCAAAGTATAAATGAAAGTAATAAATTATTCTAAATCAAAGATTAACATAAAATATGATTTTGTCATACGAAGGTCCGCAGAATACTTTAAGTCTTACATGTATCTTATTTATACATGTATTTAATATATTGTTCTTATCAAAATGTTCGTTTACAATATCTTTATTCTAAATTAATGTCATGAAAAGGACACTTGAAGATGCATTCCGAACGTAAAATGTTGTCTTTTCATAACTAATACAGTCAAACATGTGATAAAAACAACCTCCGTTTAAAGACCACCCTGTAAAAAAGAGAACATTTTTTGACAAATCTTCACTGATAAAAACAAAACTGAGTACAGTCCAAGAAAAGATCACTAGTCTATAAAGGTCATGTATGCTTTCTCCTTTGGATGGCTTTAAATCACAGGTTTGACGGTACATTTCAATAATAACTAACCGAATAATTTCATCATTAATTTGTAAATTATTTCTTTTATCAAAGGCAAGTTAATAACCTATGTAATAACATTCACTTTTTATTATGGACATTCTTCGCAACCCATTTGGCTGGTGTTTAAAAAAGGAAACATTATGTGTCTTTGTTCTAAAAAATGAATGACCTGAAACACAATGACCGGCAATTGATTGAAGTTATATATTCATTCATTGTTAAACACAAAAAATGTCAAGTAGAATAAGATGTTAGTGTAACAATAAGAGCTATGACTGTAACAATTGATAAATTGTATTAATTAGTGAATGACAGACAGGTCTCGAATTATCTGTTAGCTTCTCCCACTGACTATTTGTTCCAATATGTAACAAAGAAATTGTTATTCAAGACTAGAACAAACTTCTCATACATTAATCTTAAGTCAACTTAATATCATAAATGCACATATCCATCTTTCAATCTAGATTATACCATTGAGAAGGAAAATTTTAAAATAAGTATTGACTGATATAAGAACAGTGCAGACCATGCTTATCCATGCACGGTGATCGTGGTCTGCACCGATCGCATTGATAATTTCAGTCAAAACCAGCAGGCTGAAGGTTAAATAATAGAAATTTAGGAACATTAAACTATTTAGTTTAGTTAATTGTAGATCAATCTACCTTCCAAAAAAATAAAGTATAAAAACATTAAGTTTAACGTCGTTATGTTGAAACTAATTCAAGGCCATTTAATATCATCATTATTTATCAAATGCAGTTTTATTTATATATTATGTTACAGTTTTCGAAATAATTCTTATTGGCCATATAGCGATGCCATCTTTAGTTATGTGGTCATTAGTAAAGATAATAATATACAATATATTTTTCTACTTTAATGGTAAATTATTTCACATTCAATGCCGTTTTCTTTACGTGATTACACGTACGTGCTCGTAAGCCATTATTTACACATAATTAAACGCAGTTTTGCTTTAGAAGTAAATTCGTTTTTCATCCCTTAAGTTAAATGAGCCCTGAAAAGAGAAATATGTGGTTCAGTTACGACAGTGTGGACCACTGGAATGTCATACAGAATGTCAGTTACCATTAATGTATCATAAGTGAATCGTACATAAGTGTTCCGACTATAATAATTTAATTCAGAGTTCTACTTTAAAAGAGCACCACTGAGGTGAAAACGCCTTAAATCGACCTTATATAGATCAACTGGGGCACTTATAACCGAAAATAATGAAGAAGATACTAAAGAAGTATACTAAGAATTAAATTGAAACCCGACATTAAATCTAATGCTTGTGGAAGCGTTAAGTAATTTCATTTTGTTAGGTAATTTAACATGATAATAAAAACAAATGGAGTGAGAATTTTGTACACATGTTATAGTTATAGGCTTGTATAACAATCCCGAAAATCCGGTCATGTCAAAAACCTCAGTGGAGACCTTTAAAGCAATAAAAGATTGCATTCCGAAAATATTAGACTAGATCGTTTAACCATACAACGTATTCCCACAGCTCTAAATGTTCTATATTGATCAGACAATAATTTAGCACAACTACAGTTTTTTCCCGTCCTTTCCCTTACACAATTTATCTTCATCTGTGACTTAAACCTGTCTGTTTTCAATTTATTAAAAACAAAATGAAGAATACTTAATATGTCCTAAAGTATCGATCAAGGTATATAGTAAAATAACATTTGAAACTGCCCTTTGCACAGTCTATCTGAATACATGTAAAATATTCGATATTGTTAAATAAAAAACGTCAATTGATAATAATTAATAAGAACTTAATATAATATTCTTATCGATTTTACAAGTTAGGCACATAATGTTGTTTTAATCTAGTTTAAAGATAATTATTTACGAACGCTTTACATGTTTCTTATTACACCAATTTTGATTCCGCTCCGTGTATATGATTTTGATATCATATACATGAGCACAATTGTGGCCCCTTTACGACTAGAACCTTCCACTGCATGGTTGAGAAGCAGTCACCTCAACCACTAGGCGACTTCAAGCATCAAATGACCAGAAAAATATAACAACACTGAAGTCTCATTAAATAAACAAATATAGTCGATAAAATTCTAGGTATTCTTTTGTCAATAATTTTTAAATATGGAACATCACCAGAACTGTATACCTGATTAAATCGTATATCTTTGATTGGCAGACATTAGCTGTTCTTACAGAAAATACATTATATAGCGGCGTCAAGTATGACACTCTTGCTTCATTTCTAAGCTTGCATGTAGTTTTATAGAGGCGGTAATGCTTCCGCACCATTCAGACAGAGTTAATTATAATGAGTGACCTGAAATACATTTATACCCTACCTCATGAGTTATCGGGCTATTCTTATTATGTATGTCATCACTAATTGGTATGATATATTTATGGCTTGATATTTATCTTATAGCGAAAGCTATTAGCGACAGAATATGTTTGATTTTTCGTCATTTGATTCTTGCAAATTAAATGTCATTTGTCTGCACAAAACGCTTTTTAGATTTAGAAGAAAAAACAACAGTATTTGGTATATAAGACAGATAAATTGTGGACAACATGTACAGGAATAATTTAATTTCATATGTGTACAATTATTACTTAATTACTGTCATATTTTCGATTAATTAATGAAAAAATGAAATTACATGATTGCAGCTTTTATTTAAAGTGGGCCTTTTATACGCTCACCAATGGACTAAAAATTAAACTATAACTGACTTGAATTTAATAAGAAGCGTATTTCAAAAAACCTTAGAATTGCATCAAGTGTAATTAAAAGGTTATTATTTTGCAGATATAATTTCTGCCCCGTAAATATTCAACATTTGACATTATTCTAAGCATCATTACACATAATTATGGTTTATAATATGATATTAAAACAGTGACACAAACTTATAAAGTAATCCCACGCATAGAAATATATAGTTGTCGTTTTAATTCAATATATTTTCAATATAATAAGCACTTTAAATCAAATTGAATAAAACATGACCTTTAAGCTCAATTTTATTTCTGTTACAAAAATTTAAAATCAAATTCATATTTATCTATAATTCAGTTTTAATATGTTTACACGATTAATACAGCGAACTTCTGCTACTATCAATATTGATCATTTCATTTAAAAGGGAAGGTTAAGATTTATGATAACTCCGTTTTAGACATGGTATAATAAGACCTGCATGTCACGATTTTGTCGGCTGACATTGAAACAAACATGCGCATATTTTCCTTTTGACATTAACTACACGATTTCATGATCATACGATTCTTAGAGGATAGGCAAAATATCCGGATTTACATACTTTTAAAACTAAATAAGATAAATAGAATTAAATAAGCTTCCTTTTTAAAGCT